ATTTAAGGCACTCTCCATGGTGTTGCTTGGTGGTTGCCATGACAACGAAATTTAATAGAAATAGAGTTTTCTAGTTGAGTATTCTGGTGAAGGCTTTAAAGCCAGATTACAGCTCTGACTCTGAAGCTTAAATGATGCAAGTTATTTGTACTGGCACACAGTAGGCATACCATAATACTTGTTGAAAGTCAGAATGAATACATATATGCAATTAGTTGCATGAGGGAGCTGGAAAACCTAACAGCTGAGAACTGAGCTGTTACTTAAAGTCAGTACTTAAAAGTCAGTGTGGAGCAAGTTTATCACATCCTTCTTGGGAAGTGGTGTAGCTCTGGATTTTCATAATTACCTGACACTCTGTGTGAGAAATGATTTGTCTGATTCCAAAGGACTGTGTCTGATGTTTAGGCCACTTATTAGCTCTGCATTCCAGGCGGTTCCTTCTGCACACAGATGTTTGCTGCAGACATGGAAAAAGTAGCAGGAATCTGACTCTGGGTTCCCCTTGCAGACCTTTTATCTGGGGCACTTATTCAAATCTTAGAGGGTCTGTGTTCAGTCCCCATAAGGCTGTTTTTTGGCAAATGTAATCAACATATTTAATAAATGGATCAAAAAATTTAAACAGCCTATTTGGTTCAAACCTTTCAAACCTGTGTTTGAAAGGCAGCCCTTCTGGCCACAATGGGTGAATGTTATTTAATAAATGGAGAGGAAAGACAACTCAAAAATCTCCATTCAATTCCTAGGTCTTTCAGCAGGGATTCTCCAACCACCCCAGCCTGACGGGCTGTTTCCCATCTCAAGGAAATCTGTATTCTATATTAATCATTTGACCTTCCTCCCCTCCTTCTTCGCTTCCTTTCTGCCTCTTCCTCTGTCTCTTTTCCTACTTACTCTTCCTTTCTGCCCATCTCTTTTCCTCTCCACCACCCTTCCTTTCACAGTCATGACAGAAAGAGCCCAGGCTTTTGGAGTCAGAATTAGCTTCAAATTCTTACTACCTCTCATGCTTCTTAGTGGAATGACCTTTAGCTCTATTCATCACATCTCCAGTAGCATTCTGTCTTGTGCATAAAGGGCTGCCAATGTCTGCCTCGTTGGTTAATGTAACAACGGAGTGTTTCTCAAACTACAGTGGTCATGAGAGTCACCTGGGGAGATAGGTGAAAATGCAGATCTTCAAGATCCACACCTGCAGATTCCACGCCTGGTCAAGGTTCCAGACATCTGCATTTTGACCAGCTCCATAGGTCCGACTTTGAGAAACTCTGGATATGTGCATAAATGTTTAGTATAGTAAGATCCATTGTAATTACTCTACAGGTGAGAGATATGATCATTAATAATTCAGCAAACATTTATTGAACATCTACTATGTGCCAGGCATGATGTCAGGCCCTACAGACACTTCCCATTTAATTCCTTTAACCATATATATATATATATATATGTTTTTATATATATATGTTTATATATATATATATGTTTTTATATATATATATATGTTTATATATATATGCCTTGTTACCATCCCACTAGTTGTAAGTGCCTGGAGGGCAGAGTAAAACAGCATAATGTGCCATAGAAAAACATCAGTGTTAGAAGACATGAACTCTAATCTTGATTTTATTATTTATTACTTATATGACTTTAGGCAAGTCACTTTACTTCCTAGAACTTTATTTTCTTCATCAAAAACTGGAAAGCCAACGAGTACAGTAGTTAAAAGCCCAGGGTTTGCCATCCTGGCTCTAATGCTTTCTATGTTTGTGATCTTGAGAAAGTTACTTAACTTCTTTGGGCCTGTTTCCTCCTATGTAGAAAGGGGATTTATTTGTTCATTATTCATTCTTTTAACAAATATTTTTTGAGCACTTTGATCAGCACTGTGCTAAGTCCTGGGAATATATTGGAGAGTCAGACAGACAGGGTCCCTGACTCACATTGCTAACAATTTAACAGTGGACATAAATATTAGAGAGACAACTACACCCATAACCCAGCACACAGAATTACTGTGACAAATCCTGTCGTGATAAATTTTCCTAGTATGCACTAACCTTGTCCAGGAGTGTCAGGGAAGACCTCCTCAAAGAGGGCATACTTAGGATGAACTCTGAGGGATGAGTAGGCATTACCTGATAAAGAGGCCCCAGAGACGGGAAGAAGCAGGGCTGTTCAGTAAAGGGATGCCAAGATGGCTGAAACTGAGTGCACAAGGTCCGCCCTACCTCACAGGTGTCCAAAGATTAAATGAGGTAATTGGTGGTATACACAAGTGACACTCTGAGAACCACTTAAGGTCCTAAATGCCTGTTGACCAAAGTTGAATTTCCCACAATACTCAGCTTTAGGCCCTGCATGAATAACCTCTTCACAATTATTTGATAATATTTTATGATATTTTTAGGGTGAGAAAAGGACTTTGAAAATCTCCATTCTCTCATTTAAAAGGGGAGGAACTTAGGACAAAAAAAGGAGTAGCAGCTAAGAAATGGGAGGAGCTGGCCAGGCGCGGTAGCTCACACCTGTGATCCCAGCACTTTGGGAGGCTGAGGCCAGTAGATCACCTGAGGTCAGGAGTTCAAGACCAGCCTGGCCAACAAGGCAAAACCCCATCTCTACTGAAAATACAAAAATTGGCCGGGTGGTGGCAGGCACCTGTAATCCCAGCTACTAGGGAGGTTGAGGCAGGATAATCGCTTGAACCTGAGAGGCAGCGGTTGCAGTGAGCTGAGATCATGCCACTGCACTCCAGCCTGGGCAACAGAGCAAGACTCTGTCTCAAAAAAAAAAAAAAAAAAAAAAAGGAAGGGAGGAGTCTGAACCGGAAACCTTTTCCTCTCCAGAGCACGCTTTAGCTGTGTTTTGCCATGAAGGCAGCAGGTGTGAGAGCTTAACCTGCAGGCGCCTCCCATGATGACCGAGATAACTTGCCACTCCAATGTGTGTACCTTTCAGACTTTTAGTTTTTACTAAATGAATTGATTCTTGGAATAGTCTTGAGAGCGAGTCAAAAAGTAACTTCAATGAAATATAATATTTTCAAAGCAAACACACCCCAGCACACTAGCCTATCTCCATTTATGTGGAAGTTAGTACATATTAATTCCTCTTCTCCTTCCTGCTTTTTAAGGGTGTGCAGGCCCCTTTCTTATGGAATTAATAATTATTATAAATGAAGTAGCAACAACGATAACAGCTATCAGCGTGTGTCCCGGTCAGGTAGCGTTTTTACAAAACTCCATCATCATCAGCGCATTCGATCCACCGCTATATTAAGAGGTAGGTCCTGATTATCTTCATTTCGTAGACGAGGAATCGAAGGAACAGAAAAGTCTAGTTACTCGACCCAGGCCCTAGAGCCAGGATTTGAACCAAGTCTGATGCTAGAGCTTGGGATCTCCATTGCATTTGATGTGATAATTCATCTGTGAAAAACAAAGCAATTCATTTGTTTTCATTTGTCAGAAACAAAACAAAATCTCAACTAAGATAACTGTTGCGCTCTTAACAGTTAAAATAAAATCAGGTGTTGAAATGAGTAACAGTAAGCCTTGAGAAGACACCCCGAGGAGTCAAGAGGATGCATTAACTGTCTACAGATGAACAGAATATCTTCTTTGAACAAGAAAACCCAAAAGTAACTTTTATCTTGGTTTCACATTTCAGGAGTTACAGTAGGGGCAAACCAAAACAGATTAAAAAAAAAAATAAAATAAGAGAGAGAAAAGCGAAAACCCAGCAAGCTGAGGCATCAGAGTCCTTCAGAAGGAAGATTTGCCGTCTTCTCTTCAGGGCATTCTCTCTTTAGGAGGACGAATCTTTTCTCCAGGGAAAGGGGGCGTCCTCCTCAGAGATGGGGGTGTAGGTGAGGGGATCTTGTTGCTTTGTTTGTTCATAATCCCTGCACTTTACTAGATTTAGTTTTGCCCGTTAACGTAGCCTCAGGACACTTGCCTAGGAAGGCTGGAGTGTACTCTCTGGGTTAGTTATTTTGGGACATTCTCGCCCCGCTGCTAGGGATGAAGAGGTCCTAATTAAATAACCGGGCCTTCCAACTGGCAGATTTTCAAAGAAGATGCCCAGCTATGCTGTATCCTCATCCACACTCTCCCGCTCCCCCTAAGTGCAAAAACCTTGCCAGGGCCTGCAGAAAGCGCCGCGACAGCGAGGCTGACACGCGTCTTCCCTTCCCTCCCCCGGGGAATGATCCCAGCATTTCTCGCAGTGATGTCAGTGTAATCCTGAGTCGGATCGGGCTCCCGGCTGGTGGCGGGCGGGCAGATGATGCTCCCGCCAGCTGGGCAGAGCAAGGGTGTTTCCCGCGGAGGTGGCAGCCCTGGGCCGCGGCGTTCCGGAACCCTCGCACCCCCGGCGCGGTGCCCCCGGTGCCCGCGAGCGCCGCCCCCGCTGGCTAGCCGCGCCTCGCTCCGCCCTGGACGCCGCCGGTCCCGGCGCGGAGGTGCGGCGTGGGGTGGGAGCCGGCCCGGCTCAGTCTGATTTACGGCTCTGCTGAAAACCGCTTAGCTCCCGCAGCATCAGCACCGGCGGCGGCGGCTGCAGCAGCAGCAACAAGTCGGGTAAGAGGCGGCCGCCGGCTATCTGCGCCCGCGGCTCGGCGGAGGGGACCGACCGGGGTAGCCAGGGCTGGGGAGGGGGTCCCTGAGCCCGCAGCATGGCGGGGAGTTGGGAGAGCCGGCTTCCCGGCCCCGACCAGCAGGAACTCGTGTGCACACGAATCCACTCTGGCACCCGTGGGCTGGCACGCAGCGGAGCGGGGGCGGGGAGAGCTGGGACCCCGGGGCAGGGTCATTGCCAGCCTGCCCTTCTCTGGCAGAGTCACTTAGGGCTGTTCCGTGAGCCCCGTGGACTGGGGTTTCCCCTGGGCCCATAAAAGCCTGCGTGCTCTGAAGTGTGTGATTACCCATTTTCCCATCCAAAATGCCACCCTTTTCCCATTGCCCCCCTAGAATCCTGACTTCCCCTTTCTTTACCTCTTGCCAGCGTCTTTGGCCCTGTGCTGAGCCAGGGTTTGCATCTCATTCCCAGAAAACCAGTGGTTAAACACCCTGGTGTACCCAGCACAGGGAGAGGTTACCCTCTCTGGGGGCCAAAGGCTTCACCTAGAAGCCTTGCCCGCCTCGCTACCTGGGGACTATTTGCACCTCTGCTTTTGAAGAGGTTGAGGATTCTTTTCACCCAAAGACCCCAGCTGGGCTCCCTCATTTTGGGTCCAATGCTTGTTACATTTAAGTAGAAACCATTCATGGAAGAATAGAAGATATGCACTGCTTGCAGAATTGGGTTGCCAACAGTCATCTGTTGCTAGGGTGAAGATAATAAATTCCTACAAGGAAACCAGAACTTCCTGTTATTAAGAGAGTATGCTGATACCTACCTGGTTCACACATTGACCATCCCTAGAGGTTGTCATATAAAATAGCATCTGAGACAAGACAAATCCATCCAGAACCCTCTATGATAATAAAAATCTTGGCCATGGCCCCACTTATGTCAAATGGTATTTGACACATTGGGTCCCCAGGTTTCAGGAAAACTCACGTATGGAGTCTATTATTGTTATGATAAGCACTTTGGTTTATGTCATCACAGCAATACTTGAAGGAAAAAATGGCAAAAATTTCAGGGTGAAAAATGTTCAGCTGATTGTAGGCTTAATGCCACTGTGCATGGCTTGAGTAATCTTTCCTGTGCTTGAGGATAGGTCCCGAGCTTGCTGTCTTAGGACCCATTTTGACAATTCATGTGAGTTTTCATATATTCTTGTGTTCACGCATCTCGGATTGTATCCTTAAAATGGGACACGGTTTTGCATTTAGTGTGCCAAATTCAGGAGGGCAGGAAACTTGAATTCCACTTCTGGATCTACCACTTTCCATCTGACCTTGGATTAATGGCTTTACTTCCTTGCTCCAGTGTTCTCATCTGTGAAGAGGGGATGTTACTCACCTTTTTGATTCTAGGTAGGAGATGGCAAACTTTTTCTGTAAAAGCAGTAAATATTTTAGCTTTTAGGAGCAGAATCTCAGTCTCAGTTACCACTGCCATTTTGGTTTACAATAAATAATACAGAAATTGATACAGCAGCAGTAAATAATGCAGAAATTGATGTGGATGGATTTGGCCCATGGGCTGTAGGTTTTAATTGCAACATGAAATATTCTATGCAAAAGTCACTTGAAACCAAAAAACCTCTGCTGTCATGGAGATAAGTAGCAATCATTTTAGTAGTGTGCCTTTCAGCAGACATGTAAACTACCTATTTTCCCCCTCCCAGGACTTTTAGAGTAATGCAACAGAAGGCTTTTGAGGAAAGCAGATATCCCTGGCAGGAGTCCTTTGAGAATGTTGCTGTGTGCCTGCCATTCCGCTGCCCGAGGTGTGGAGACCATACCAGATTTAGAAGCTTGTCATCCTTGAGGGCCCATCTGGAGTTCAGTCACAGCTACGAAGAAAGAACCCTCTTGACAAAATGCAGTGTCTTTCCATCCCTCAAAGACACAGACCTAGTCACTTCCTCAGAACTCCTGAAACCGGGAAAACTGCAGAGCAGTGGCAACGTGGTAAAGCAGAAACCGAGCTATGTTAACTTGTACAGCATTTCACATGAACATTCCAAGGACAGGAAGCCATTTGAGGTGGTGGCAGAGAGGCCTGTGTCCTATGTGCAGACCTACACTGCCATGGACCTCCGTGCAGACTCGCTGGATGGGCCACGGTCCGGTCCCGGACTGCCCACCTCAGACACTAAAGCTTCTTTCGAGGCACATGTCAGAGAAAAATTCAATCGAATGGTTGAGGCTGTGGATAGGACCATTGAGAAGAGAATTGATAAACTCACCAAAGAGTTGGCCCAGAAAACTGCGGAACTATTGGAAGTTCGGGCAGCTTTTGTGCAACTGACTCAGAAAAAGCAGGAAGTTCAGAGACGAGAGCGGGCCCTGAACAGACAGGTGGACGTGGCCGTGGAAATGATAGCTGCACTGAGGCAACGCCTGACAGAATCAGAGGAGGAGCTTCTTAGGAAAGAAGAGTAAGTGCTGCTGACAGGGGATGCTAACCCCATTGCTTTAAGCAGCACCCCAATCACCGTACAAACAAATGTTAAGCAAGGTTGATTTTTGCTATTTGCAGGTGCCTTGATTGCATTTCTTATTGATATAGTTGATCCAGGAGGCACAGGGCTTTGATATCATTTACCCTCTGTGTGCATGGTCTGCAACCCAGCAACAAAGTCAAATATCTAATTCCTTCTCAGCTGGGAATTTGTAAACTACAGATAATGTTTTTAGAGAGAAGACTAGCATAGCCTAGCCATGGCGGGGGATCCATTCCTAGCACCAAATGGCGTGCAAGGGTGAGTTGAATGGGAAGGCAGAAAGAGTGAGCTGAGTGAGCTCATCTTCTTGACAGTTTCTGTATTATAAAGTCAGTAGGGCAAGATGCTGTCTTAAGTTCAAAAACATTCCTCCAGTATAAATAAGTTTGGTTTATTTGCCATGTTGTATTATCTGCCCAGATTAATTAAATGTTAGTAGCTGAGAATCCATTTAATTTAATTTATATTTGGGAGAAGCAGACATTAGGAAACCTAGAGGAAAGACTTTCTGATATTGTTGTACTTCTATGATTTAAGTTTGAGACTTGACTTTTTGGAAAATGACATATATCAGATTAAGTGTTGCCCACTTGCAAAGAGTTGAGATTGGTTTTCACAAGTTGTAGATCATAGAAGCTATTGCTTGAGAAATCATCATACTTAGAGAAGCATTTCCTTATCAGTAAGTATAAATTTAACCCAAACTAGAAAAGTATACATAACAAGTCAGTGTATTTCTCAAATGCAGAATGTCAGATTTCGTTTTAAATAGAGGCTTAGAAATTCATGGAATCAAAGGACATTAAAATTGATGGAGTATAACATCCTAGAAGGTAGGTTTCCAAATAATTTGAGTTCTATTATAGAGATTGATTTAATGTCATCCTTTCTTTGCCCTCTGGTACTCTTCTATTTTGTGTTGTCTCTTAAAATGTAATAATTAAAACTTCCTGAGACACTCCATAGATTAAAGAGATCTTACTTGCTATCACGTAAATGCTTACATTCTACCTTGAAGGGAAGCCTAGACATTTTTCGTTCAGGCAAGAGATTTTTTAAATTACGTAGTTAGGATGAATTTGAATCAGCCTCTGACTTGCTTTGCTCCTAGGGAAATAATCTCTAATGAAAAATGTTTCCCTTTCGGTTTCTGGTGTTTCCTGGTGGGAAGTTAGTGTCTAGACCCGTTAATGGCCACCAGGGTGACCTGCACCGTGCTGTTGAAACAAGGGCAGATGTGGTTACTCTATGCGTTAAGAGAGACCTAGAATTAAATTTGAAAATTTTTGCTTCATTCAAGAGCAGTGAGTTTAAAAGGCAACCAAATTAATTTTTTGAACTTATTTATTTATTGTATTTTACTTATTAATTACACAAGTAATAATGAACATGAGATCTGGAGTAGTAGTTGCCTGGAGTGATGGGTTCAAAAATGCTTAATTGTTAAACATATCTGACTAAATAACAGTGGGCTATGCATGGGTCAGTTACATGTTATGGTTAATCCAAATCTGCCACCTGAGCACCAGCTGAAAAACTAATACATGGAAAAACTTGAATAGGACAGAATTATATGTGTAAAAATAGCTTCTCCAATCCAAGCACATCCTATCCTATCCTTCAGAGACAGCCACTGTTAAGTTCCGTAAATGTCCTTCCAGACCTTTCCTGTGTGCCTACAATTGTACACACACAGATTCCATTTTTTCTAAATGAAATCGTGACACATACTGTTCTGCCGCTTACACATTGAATTATTTTCGTTTTTAATATAATAGATTTCAGGCATCTTTTGTTTACTAACTATAGAACTATACTACTCTTTTTGACTGTTGTGTAGTATTCCATGGTATGGATGCATCATGATCCATTTAACCAGTTTGCTATTGATGAATACATAGTTTTATTCCATTTTCCCAGTATTAAAAATAGTGCCTTGGTTATTATCCCCATACATGTTTGTTCACAGTTTTGTGAGTATACCTGAGGATAAATTACGAGTTGATTTTTTTTTTTGAGACAGAGTTTCACTCTGTCACCCAGGCTGGAGTGCAATGGTATGATCTTGGCTCACTGCAACCTCTGCCTCCCAGGTTCAAGCAATTCTGCCTCAGCCTCCCAAGTAGTTGGGGTTACAGGCACCCACCACTGCACCCAGCTATTTTTTTGTATTTTTAGTAGAGACGGGGTTTTGCCATGTTGGCCAGGCTGGTCTTGAACTCCTGACCTCAGGTGATCTACTGAAGATTACAGTCGTAAGCCACCGAAGTGCTGAGATTACAATCATAAGCCACCGTGCCCGGCCACAAGGTGATTTTTATATGTCATTTTTGGACCAATAGATAAAAGCAATGATATTTAAAAAAAAAGAAAAAGTATTTTAAATAAAAGTGCAGGGAAATTGCCTTAAAGTTTTAAACATAAACCAAGTCTTCATTTTTTTGAAACATTCATTTGGGCCAGTCCCATCAGTTTCTATATTCAGGTCTAAAATAGTCACTCTTTCTGTACATAAAATGGGACTGAAAGAGTCTTGTTTCCGGGGAGGACACTGGAGCTCTTGGTCTAAGAATGGGACTATGGACAGCGCCCTCAGTGTCTGCAGCGTCTAGCCTCCCCACCCCCACGCCCCTGCCCTCTGAATGGGGATGCAGAAGGAGCTGCCCACCTGTCACACTGTTAATACTGGGTTGATTTGACTGCATCTGCCTAGCTGGGCGGTGGGTGCCTCTTCCATCCTAACCGCTACCTCAGAGAGCTGTGCCTTCCACCAAAGAGTTGGCCTTTTAGATAAGGGAAGGCCCTATTTTGCCAAGAACCATACCAGGAGTTGTGCGCCCCTGCCAAACACTTCCACATGAGCTCCCTAGGCCCATTTGTGAGAGAAAGTAGGTTGTTAACAGTCTCATTCACAATTGACTTACACTCCAGGGACCCTGGGAAACACAGATAGTAGATATGGTTTCAAAAAAAGTAAACATCTATTATTTAAAATTCACATAAGCTTCTTTTGCTTATGGATTTTTTCCTTCAACTTTTAAAATCCTTTCTTTCAAGTTAAAATAAAAGGCCCAAAGGCTGCTTCTGCCCTGAGGCCATCTATAGGCTGAATCAGCCAGATTGCAGAAGTT